TAATAAACCACAAAGTTAACAAAACGATGCACTCCACTGTGCTGAGCAAGAGCTTCTCTGCTGTCTTCTCGTGCTATCGGAAACTTACTATTTCCCACTTATGAAGTTGTGAGTGCTGCTGCAGTCTTAGGCCCACCCCAAATGCTCTCGAAGAAAAAAAAACCACGCTTTTATGCACAGACACTGATAAATAAACCTCAATAATAACCACATAAGCAGGAAGTTGCACCCTGGGTATATAAATAAAACCAGAGAAATAAACTCCAGCTACTAAATTACATCAGCAGACCAGTTCTGGAATTATTTTAATGCATTTCTCTACCGATTTAGAAATCTGTGGAATTATGTTCATTTAAATATGGTAATATATGCTAAACTATTTGTAGCTGAAAGAATAATTAATAAGCTAAAATATACGAACAAGCATGGAGAAGGATGTGAAGAAAAGTGTAGCTTTGTGTACCCGTATAGGCCTAAAACGCACTAATATACTTTCATTTAATTCACTTAAAACAAGCTTAATAAATAAACTAACTTAAAAAGAGAATAAATAAGCACACTGAAAGGTAGAGACAGATTTAAAGGTAAGCCAGAAAAAGAAGGGCAGAACAACACGCTGGCTTTGAAGCTGAAACAATATTGATCCGGGTCTGGAGCAAAGCGAAAGCAGTCTGAAGGTATCGACAGCCGCCTTAATCTACTTCCCATCTACAGTTAACCAAGGTGTGAGCATAAAGTGAAAACAACTTCTCCCTTAGTGAAACAACTAGCAGAGTTCTTGTTTGCGGCCGAACGACTGTCTAATGACAGTACTGTGAGTGCAGGAGGTGGCAGAAAATGGCAATCAAAGCTAATTAAGCACTGTCTGATTATAATGAGGGGTTAGTGGACAGATTAACAGCGCAATCAACCCCGTCACATCACGCCTCGGTCGAGACAGAATTAAAACCCACTCTGCATTATGAACTCAAAGTCAAAGGTCGTGGCTGAGGAATTAGAAAGAGCATGTGAAGGCAGGCTGTTGAATCTGTTAGGAAGTAATCAATCATTGTCAAAACACAGAGGTCTCACAACAAGTGACAGAAAGTACATATCAGTATGAAAGCTGTGAAACTGGTGATAAGTGCTAAATGCTTTTAAGCATTTATGTTAGGGACTAGTTAAATGGAAACTTCTCCAAGTAGTGGTTTTTATTTTCTTTGAGTGTTATAATGAGTAGGGATCCGACAATGGAATTGACACTTTTTAATGTTTTGCTGAGTGGTCATTGCAGCTATTATCATTTGCAGTAAGTGACAGCCAGTGTTGGGCAGTAACACATTACTTAGTAACGCGTTACTGTAATTTGATTACTTTTTTAGTAACGGAGTAATTTAACGAATTATAATTTTCAAAATAGTAATTAGAGTATAGTTAGAAGCCGAGGACTCTATACGTTACTGCGGCGTTACATTGCTGACAGAATGCAGTGATTTATAATCTAGAGATTGTAAAAAGGATGTAGCTCACGCACTGTCGAGTCAAGTGCCAGTGGATTAGAGACCTGCTCTCCCGCGAGACCCGACGCAACAGAGTGCGGCGCGGGACAAGACTTGATAGGCGAGTGCAGAGACTCGTGTGTGTGCGGGATGCGGGAGAATAAAATGATTCACGGGACTCCCGCAAAATAGAAATAGCTAATCATAAAATATCTGAAACAAATAAATTGTTATACATCTATTGCACAAAAGCAGCAAGAACTAATATAAAATAAAAACGATTAAAAGGCGGAAGCTTCGGGCAGAGTTTATAAGGCTATAACACGCGTTTGCTGCGTTGAGCAATGTTGTTGTCAGGAGTGCAGTGCTGAAATGTGCATGCTCACGAATCCTCTCATTATAACACACTAATTGTAGACATTATGAAAGATTCATCATGCATATATTCATTGTGTTATAACAGAGCTTTGTGAGATTGCGATGAACTGAGATGTCATCTTTTTAGAGATTATAAAAGTAGTGCTATTTGCAGGTATTCTGCCATGCCAAACCAGCAGCCTATGCTTGCTTTAGTTAAAAAATAACAGTTTTGTGAATGATCAAATATTTATCAGGAGCGTTTAGGCTGGGATTTCATGTAAATTTCATGGATGTAGCCACAGAAAAAAAGTAACGTAACTATGTAACTAATTACTTTTGAAATGAAGTAATCAGAACAGTAACATGATTACTTTTAAAAGGAGTAATCTGTAATCAGTCATTTAATTAAATTTTCAGAGTAACTTACCCAACACTGGTGACAGCAGCAATGTTTTCTCCAGCACACATGGCCCTTTAAATAAACTCCAATCTATCGCTTTTCTGTGGCTTGTTATCCGCTCTATTGAAACCACCAAACAAAATGCAAACAAATGCGTCCCTGCTTCTGATATGCATTCACTTATGTACAGCTACAAATCTGGTGTATTAAACTTTTATTACTTAATATTCAGCTGCTCATCCATGCTATCTACTGAGCTACAAAACTCAGGGTCTTACAGGAGCAGATGGAAGTTATCAAATAAAATGTCAGTTGAGTTCAGTTGAGCAACTGAATTAGTCAGCAAGTATGATTACTGCCTTAAATCACTTTGTAAACTGCATTCACCAATCTTTTTGTCCTGTTTTCCAGTAAAAAAATATCCACGTATCCTCAAAAAATAAATTAATTAATTAATTAATTAATTAATAAAAAATTAATTATACAATAATAGCATACAAATAAAAATAATAATAAATAAATGTACTTAGAAGCAAAATCGCTTCTAAGACTTGTTTCCAATAGGATATTTTAATTCCAGACATTAGTTAAATTTATTTAGCAATATAATAATAATAGTAATAATAGTAACACATATTATTATTATTATTATTATTATTATTATTATGTCATTCCGACGTCACCGCAACAGCCAATCAGCGAAGGAATTTCCCTCCAGCAGCCATCCAGTAGCCACGAGAAACGACTCGGCTTTCAGCGGTCAACCAAGCAGAACGCAAGTAACGAACAAAATCTTATCTCTGCTGAACTGGTTTCGAGCTAATTTAAGCAGTAAATTTAAGACAAATTCTCTGCTTTGTGAAGTCTCTCAGGTGAATTCAAAACCACTCGTGAAAACGAGTGTTAGAACCTTGAAAATTCATGCAACTCCGTTAACTCATTCCTTCAATTTTCTGAGCTGTACATGTGTGTGTGTGTGTGTATGTTTGTGTGTTTTAGCTTAGTTTTGATGTACTCTAGAGTAGCCAATAAAATTCATGTTTCATTTATAAAGAATCATTGTTGGTGTCATATAATTTCAAGGTTAAAACTGTTGCCAAAAAGATCCCTTGCTTGCTGCCTAGCTCGTAGCTTACTCATAATAATTACTATAATAGCTTACAAATTATCATAATTGTGTTGACCGTGGCCAGGGAAATACAATTAATTAAGTTGTTAAAATACACTGAGGTCACGGCTCGCTGGACGGCCGTTGGTTTAAAGTGTAAAATAACAAATTTGAAATCAGTTTAATCAGGTGGACCTCGAATTTTTCCGATCCGAGTCCTTTCAAAACCTGAATGAATTAATAATAATTAATTCCCTACAATTAAGTAATCAAAGTCATTACAATTATTACTACTACTGCTAGTAGTAGCATTGTTGGTATTATTATATTTAATAATAATAAATTGTATATTTTAATTATTTAATTTAACACAGATTAACAACAAAATATCATCATTGTCACGTATTCGGTCCATGAATTTCCATCTGCTAGCCATCAGAGCCTTTGATTCTGTTTGCCGATCGTTGAACTCCGCTAGCCTTAGGTTTCTTCTTGTGTCTTGCCCGCCATACACCTGTCTGCCATTATCTGACCCATGCCTGTTCTATGACCACGTCTCTGTCTTCTGCTAATAAATAGCTTGCACATGGATCCGCACGTCTCAAGTCTTGTCAGCCCCGTAACAATCATCATCATCATCATCATAATTATTAATAATAATAATAATAATGAAAAATAAAGCATACGATTTTTAAAGTTTTGAACAAAGTTTGATAATAAAAATAAATTTAATTCAAAATAATCTCTGAAAACAAGTCTTATTTTCTCATAATATGTATGAGAAGATGGCAATATTCTAATACAGACCTGACTTCAAGAAAAATCACACAAACTATTTATCAAAACAGTAAAATATTGTTAAATAATGTGCATAAACAAATTAATATTCATAATCTAAGTTTTCCCCATCTTGTGATATCACAGCACGTCATCCTCATCCATGTACTCACAGATAAATGTAAATATCTATATTCGAGTGAGACACATCGGGCGAAGCTCGGAGGACCCCAGTAAGCAACTCCATTTGCGTCCAGCAAACAACGACGACTAGCAGATCCTACAGGGAGAGGAAAAAAAACAGATCATTATCACCGTTAATAACAACATGCGAAGGTCTGTTTGACACACACGCTTCATATAAAATACTTCACTGGGATGCGGCATATGATAATGTCTGGTATAATGTCTGTTTTGAGTATGTCATTTTACACTGTTGTAAACTCAGTGTTGCTTAAAATTTCTGCTACTTGCATCATTCAGATCACGGCCAACAAGACTCGAATGAGGCCTCACCCCTGGTATCCTCGCTAGGATAAAAATGGGCCTGAAAATCACACAGGGAACGCAGGCAGACGTGGAAATGTAGCCCGGAAAAGTCAAGCGAAATGTTCTCTGCAGGAATTGTTCTTTCTTTTGGGGGTTAGTGAGCATGACAGTTTGTGCTGCTCGGGATGTGGAGTTGATATAGATTACAGCTCGCCGTTGACCTCATTCAACACTCTGCTCTGTGCTCCCACTTCAAAGACATCATTTATTAGGTCTTTCTGTTCTTATTAGGTAAAAATCACTGAGTGCCTTGGGTGTCTTTCTCCACTAGTATCTGAGAATTATTGCACGCTGTACTCAAGAGGGCATAAATAACCCCAAGAAACTCTCCCACTGCGATGGGAAGGGTTAGAACATCTTGAGCCAATCTGAAGAGTGCAGAACACTCAATATATAACATTCAGAAAACATGAATGTCATGTTGTACAAAACGACAACATGTCAGTCTGTGACATTAAATCTACAGTCTCTCAAAGAAAGAAATGTGATTTTTGTTGGGTCCAATATAAGCTCTGCAGCAACGTCTGACATTTCAGTCCACCAAAATCTCACTTGATATCACTGTTACAGTATATAAACTTTCTGTGGCAGCATATATTGGGCTGTAAACATCCTCATTAAGTTCCCTCTCATACACCACTAATTCATCTCAATGGGTTTAAGAACTGAATGCTGATTAACTGCGTGGAAACCAACTTATTTTGAGCCTGTTGTGCGATGTAGATTTTGGAAGCTGCACCGATTGCATCGTTGATGGAGTTTTATAATGTAGTTTAACCAATCATAAAATATTTTAATAAAGCTGCATGTCACGGTGAGAGAAGAAACAAATGTATCAGAGGCTGCATGAGATATGGCGTCTTTAGCTATGGCCAAAACAACATTAGATTGCAGTTTTAAAGTTTTATGTGATGTAGGCGGTGGCGTAAACTCTGAAGCTAATCATGCTCGGATCATTATCTTTTCTTGAGTGGATTTAATTTACTACTAATTTGTCACATAGCTGACATTTTTATCCAGAGCAATGTACAATATACTTTTTAGAAGAACGGTCGTCCTTGAGCAAGCTGGGTTTTGGCTAAAGGGCACAATGGTCATGGACTGGTCTTTACACAGAACCTGCAAACTTTCGATTACTGGCCTAGATAGAGACTAAACCAGCAATTTCTAGATCAAGAAGAAGATTAATCAAATAAATTGTTATTAAACTGACATTATCAGTGAATGATGACTTAAATGACTCAAATAAATTGACAATAAATTGTCATTATATGTGGGTTTTATTTAGTTGTTTTGGACCATAACAGCCAAAGAAACTATGAACTGTCATTTAGATCTTCCTCAAAATATTAAACAGTTTGTTCCACGGAAGGAAAAGTCATGGGTTGGAATAACACGAGGGTAAGTCATCTTCGGGTGAACTTTCATTTTAATATTTCATATTTCTAAAATGACTCCAACAGACCTTAATTAGTGAGTGGAGAGAATGTGTGCAATGACGTACCAGTGGCATTTGATGGACACTTGTTGTATACCGTCTCTCCAGCTGAGGCTCTCTTCCATGTCATGGCTACTTGGTACTCATCCTTACATATTTCATGAGGTGCTGCACACAGTATGAATCAAAAGTATAAATTAGCCAGAAAAAAAAAGACTAGGAAACATGTACAAACTGGCATTAAATATAAAGCCTATTTAGGATTGATTGATTGCTCTCACATACATACATACATATGCACGCACATACATACAGTACATACATAAATAAATAAATAAATAGTATTTCTCTTGTTTTCTAGAATAGATTTTATATTGTTTTGAATTTCCATCAATAAAATGAATCAAAAGTATAAATTAGCCAGAAAAAAAAAGACTAGGAAACATGTACAAACTGGCATTAAATATAAAGCCTATTTAGGATTGATTGATTGCTCTCACATACATACATACATATGCACGCACATACATACAGTACATACATAAATAAATAAATAAATAGTATTTCTCTTGAATTCTCTAGAATAGATTTTATATTGTTTTGAATTTCCATCAATAACATAATTTCTTAATCATGAGTTGTGCCTGTTTTCCAATAAAATATGTAAAATCTATAACGTTCTGCATGCCAATAAAAAACTTAATTAATTAACTTCGTGTAAACATGCATTTTCAGTTTTTATGTCTTTTTGTCAGTACAAATATCTAAAAAATCCTTTAAAAAGGATCAATTTTACCTCAAAAACAAAAATGTATACAATTTTAAGTCTTGTTTACTAATCTTGAATTACGTTTATTTTCTTACCCATTGGCAAACAGATTTGTCTTGTTTTATTTATATATTTAATTAGGTTTATGTCTCTAGATTTTTCACTGAAACAAGGACAAAAAGTACTGATTAAGAAAATGAGTTGTTGCAGCGCACAAAGCAAACTCTGTGAAGATCAGTGACTAGAACAACACACATCTCTCTCCAACTTTCATTCAAAAGCTTCTTCTGAACAGAGAACAACCCAGGGGTGAGATACAGAAGGGGACTGGGTTGAAAGCTGAGAGAGATGGAGAAGAGAATCCTACCTTTTTCATCTAAACATAATACACCCCGACAAAGCTATCGGACAGATTTTTGTCTTCAAGTGTCTGGCGCCATCAAAGCCCTGTGCCCGATATAAGCTCTGTGGCAATGTCTGACATTTATTTAATCTATAGCCTCCCAAAGCTGCAGTCAACGGCATGCTTATTAAAATCTGCTGTTTGCTGTGCTGCTTGACATGCTGACAAATCACACATAGCAGCACTTTGAACAATTCCCTTCTGTCAAGAATGACCCGTCTCAATTTAAAGAGAGAAGAAATGGAAACAAAGGAGAAGAGAGAATGTTAAATACAGAAGAAAGAGAAAATGAGTGAGAGAGGTCTGAAAAGGAAAGGGCACTTTTTACAAATAGGGTACAAATTAGGGTCTGAAAGTCTTGCTTTTTTAAGCATTCAGTGAACGCGTCACAATATGTTATTTATCAACTTCAGAAGACCACACTTAATGTTCAATGAACTATTTTAGTTTCTATTAATTTTATTTTAAGGTATGCAATTTATTTAACCCTGTTACCAAACAACAAATAGTTTAAAACCCTGATTTGAGGGACTTTGATGTTTTATATCAATCAAAAATAAACACAGAAATTAAAATGACAACTGTAAACACAAAACAAAATTAAAAATACATGTATGTAATAGTCAACAAGTGTCCCAATTACTGTATGTCAGTTAAACTTAATCAAAAATAGTTTTAATTGAATATCAATTCAACAGATTAAGTCAAAAATAATAATGCATAATAACTAGATAGGCTATTAGACGATCAAGACTGTCAAGGTAGAACAGACCAAATTTGTATAGGAAATCAGAAAAAAAAATCAGAAGAGAAGAAAAAGAGAGATGCTTTGATCATAATAAACACACACCTGGGCACTTCTTGTCATTGCAGGAGTGTACTTCCTCTCCAGAGCCTTCACAAGGGTAACCCTGGATTCCCGTGCCTTCACACATACGGAACCGCCGCTGCCAACCAGAGTCACAGGTCTTGGAGCACAAGCTCCAGTGATTCCAAGCACCCCAGTTTCCTCCACCTACACATAAGGAAGAAAACGAGGAACAAGAGATGAATTACAGGGAATTATTGTTGACCATCTACACAATGTCCCAGTTAAATGTTCCAGTGCTGTTGGACTGTTTATCAGCGCTCTTGGAACCAGGGTTATTTTAGATAACTAAAACTAAAAATCTAAAATATTACTTTAAATACTTGAAATGAAAACTAAAAACTTAAACTTACTACCTAATAAAATAAAAACTACATAGAAATATTTATATATTAAAAAAAAATGAAACACAACAAAATTACTAAAAGTTTAACTAAACTAAATTGAAAGCTGAAAATATAAAAACTGATTTAGTGAAAACACTAAAAAATTTTTTTTAAAAATACAATAGCATATCAATGATTCTTTTCACTGTTCAGCCAATCAGATTTGAGGACCAGCACTAACTGTTGTATAAAACATGTGAAGTGACAACCATATTTAGCTGTAGTGTGAATGTGGTCATAAAGCACCTGCATGAAGCTAATTTGCACTTATTAATTATTATCAGGGGTGCTAACTGGCATATGCTGACACAGCAGCATATATGTGGAACAAAATGAGAGGCGCAGTTAGTCTCTGCAGTTTGGTACCATAGACAATTCAGAGCGTCCGCTACAATTAAATAGACAATGACAGCAAAACAATTTGCAGCTGTGCACATAATCTACCTGTCAATTTAAGACTGTAAGCCCACCAGAGAGAAACTTACCCCCACAAGATGGGTTGGTGCACTCACGATTCTCCGCATGTGGCCCCTTACACTCTGCCCAGCCATGAACTGACACACTGCAACGCCGCTGCCTCTGCTGAGTGCCGGAGCCGCAGGAAACAGAGATAATAACTAGATAGGCTATTAGACGATCAAGACTGTCAAGGTAGAACAGACCAAATTTGTATAGGAAATCAGAAAAAAAAATCAGAAGAGAAGAAAAAGAGAGATGCTTTGATCATAATAAACACACACCTGGGCACTTCTTGTCATTGCAGGAGTGTACTTCCTCTCCAGAGCCTTCACAAGGGTAACCCTGGATTCCCGTGCCTTCACACATACGGAACCGCCGCTGCCAACCAGAGTCACAGGTCTTGGAGCACAAGCTCCAGTGATTCCAAGCACCCCAGTTTCCTCCACCTACACATAAGGAAGAAAACGAGGAACAAGAGATGAATTACAGGGAATTATTGTTGACCATCTACACAATGTCCCAGTTAAATGTTCCAGTGCTGTTGGACTGTTTATCAGCGCTCTTGGAACCAGGGTTATTTTAGATAACTAAAACTAAAAATCTAAAATATTACTTTAAATACTTGAAATGAAAACTAAAAACTTAAACTTACTACCTAATAAAATAAAAACTACATAGAAATATTTATATAAAAAAAAAATGAGTAACACAACAAAATTACTAAAAGTTTAACTAAACTAAATTGAAAGCTGAAAATATAAAAACTGATTTAGTGAAAACACTAAAAAAAATTTAAAAAATACAATAGCATATCAATGATTCTTTTCACTGTTCAGCCAATCAGATTTGAGGACCAGCACTAACTGTTGTATAAAACATGTGAAGTGACAACCATATTTAGCTGTAGTGTGAATGTGGTCATAAAGCACCTGCATGAAGCTAATTTGCACTTATTAATTATTATCAGGGGTGCTAACTGGCATATGCTGACACAGCAGCATATATGTGGAACAAAATGAGAGGCGCAGTTAGTCTCTGCAGTTTGGTACCATAGACAATTCAGAGCGTCCGCTACAATTAAATAGACAATGACAGCAAAACAATTTCCAGCTGTGCACATAATCTACCTGTCAATTTAAGACTGTAAGCCCACCAGAGAGAAACTTACCCCCACAAGATGGGTTGGTGCACTCACGATTCTCCGCATGTGGCCCCTTACACTCTGCCCAGCCATGAACTGACACACTGCAACGCCGCTGCCTCTGCTGAGTGCCGGAGCCGCAGGAAACAGAGCACTGAGACCAGGTGGCCCAGTCCAACCACTGCCCCTCCACTGCAAACACAACCACAGGGAGATGCAGAAAGAGAGAAGCGGAGGTGAGAACAGAATAAGACAGTACAGAAGCGGAGGAAGGACAGGAAAGAGAAGGACATAGAAGTGAGGGACATAAACAAACAGGAAACAGGCGGTCGGAGGTACGGACAGAGAGACGGGGGACAGCAAGGGGTCTGTGTTTGTCTGTAGCATGTGAGTTTGGAATTTGGTTAAAATGATTTCTACTTACCCTGATACAAACCTGAGAGATCACTTCAACAAACTCAAAGAGTGAATATGATACTGATTAGTGATAAGCCAATGTAAATATTGTACATTTTTCAAACTTCATGTATTTTTCCCCGTTATAAACTATACAGTCAGCACAACAATTAAGTTTCAATTGACAAAAAAAACTTGAAATAAAATAAACATAAACTGAAATGAAATTTAAAAAAAATACTCTATTTCATTTTTTTTCTTTCTTGATTCTTATTGTTTAGTTTTAATGTACTAAAATAACTAAAACTAAATACACTAAAACTTAAAAGAAATTGCATCATAAATTTCATTTACTAATTTATTTTCACCTGCTATTTAAACCCTGCTTACACAATTTTATTTTTAATTCTATATTGAAAAATGCTTTTTTTAGGATCACCTCTTCATCACCGAACATTGAATTAGAATGCATTATATTAGAATAAACATTGACCTGCACATTAAAGGAGCTCCAAGTAACACATTCATTTTCTTGAAAATTGTAGTCTAATGGGTTTCAGAGAAGACCAATGCAAAGAAAAGATTAATGTTGTTTAATTAATTAAAGAGAGATGGACTTCTGTGACAAACCTAAAAGCACAGGAAGTTAAATAGAGGCTTTATAACATTAGCGCTAAAATTTATGAGAAACCTCACTTAGATGATAATATTTTTAGTTAGATTGATGCATATTCCAGATGTTTCAGCCTTTAATTTCTCACAGGAAAAAAAAATAAAAAAATTTAAGCTAGAAGCTAGAAATCAAAAAAAAAATATATATATATTGTTTTTCCATGTATAAAAGACAGCAAGCACATTATGTATTTTACATTAATTTTATATAGTAGATTAACTGTGGATATCAATAGAGTATATGCAAACACAGCAGAAGTTGTTCTGCCTGCGGTCATACCGGTCTTCTCTCTGACCGTCAACTACAACAAACAACAATATGAGATCTTTTGCATAATGGATGAAACAAGGGATCAATTTGCAGTGACTATTTCTTACTTGAATAATGAGATTCATGTTTTCTGGTGAAGTTCAATGTGAATAAATAATACGTAGGGTGAATGCCGCTTATGAAGCCCTTCCCTGTCGCTAATCCAAAGCCCATCACTTATGACTCATTTTGTTGAAGCATTTATGAATTTGAAGAGTTGGAAAAAAAAAATGTTTTAAAATCTTTTGAATGTTTCACTTCTCGTATCCCAAGATCCTTTGCAAAACATCAGAAGGCCTACATGCCTCGATGGACACATATTCCGCATGTTCGAAAGTAAAAATTATATTTAAACTTCATCCATCAAATTACGTCATTAATCTTATGGCTTTATGTTTATATAATGAATGCTTTCTAGTGTGCACTATCTATTTCACAGTAGGGGAGATGTTACGTCTTTTGACATTAAGCAGCAATTTCAGCATCTGTGCATATTAACCTCTAATATCACTTTTATCTTATTTAAATGGGGTGGGGGGTGTTGGGGGTAGATATTCATATTTCATCCAAGCGTATCTCGAAATGATTGATGGTATGAACTGAAATCAAATTATCTCTCAATCTAATGGATTCAAAAGAAGACAAAGCACATGATGAACAAAAATACCTATGTCACCTTTGCTCTGTTAAAGCAGATGTTTGTCAAACTGAGAAAATTATTATTAAGTGGTATATACATATATATATATATATATATATATACATACATGCATATACTACAGACACATAATGTAAATACACAACCACACACATGCATGTTAATGTAAATATATAAAAAATGTTCTGTGTAAATATTTGTAAAAAAAAAAAAAAAAAACATTTTTAAATCAAATAATACAATAAATAAATAAAAAATTGAAAAGAAAAAAATTGAAAAGCATATAAAAAAATTAAATTAAATAAATACCTCTTTAAATGTTGGCAGAATGATTTATAACAAAACCAGATGCAGCTGCATTCTCTGTCTGAGATCATGGAGGATCTGTGTCTCAAAGCAAGAACATGATAAATAATAACCTTATTCTAAAGCCTCGCAAACTCAATAAACATGGATAAATGTGGCCTGTCTGTCTGCGCCTCCATGAGAGTTTTGGACTCATCATCGCTCATGAAATCAGCAGCCAATGAGGAGAGAGAGCCAGCATATTGTGGTTGTCAGGAGAGACAGCAGCTGCAGCTGAAACCCGACAAAACACAGCTGAGCATTTATGGCATCTCACTTTACTTCAAAATAACATAAAGGGAGAGGGAGAGAGAAACCAACGGTATAATTAAGGAAATAACACTGACTTCAGCACATCAAATGGATACTTTGAGTATCCCTCACTTGCAATACATACATACACACAAACAAACAGATGCATCTGAGTGTTCAAGACTGTAGCTAAGAATTCTGGGCCTTGATTTCTCTTAAAGGGGTCATATGATGTTGCTAAAAAGAACATTATATTGTGTATTTGGTGTAATGAAATGTGTTTATGCGGTTTAAGGTTCAAAAAACACATTATTTTCCACATACTGTACATTATTGTTTCTCCTCTATGCCCCGCCTTTCTGAAACGCGTCGATTTTTACAAAGCTCATCGGTCTGAAAAGCGAGGTGTGCTCTGATTGGCCAGCTATCCAGTGCGTTGTGATTGGCCGAATACCTCAAGTGTGTGACGGAAATGTTATGCCCCTTGCCATATTGTGATGCCTTGTCCCGGCCAGAGCGAGGAGACCGCATGTTAGAATGAGCCCTTTTAGGTAGGCGTGGTTGACTCTTAACTTTTATAAAGAATATCTCTTTGGATTTGAGACTTTAGTCTTTGCAACTTTACATATCTTCTTTATGCACCAAGAGCTTGTAACACTCCAAAGAGAAAGGAAAAATTGAAATCGCACCATATGACTCCTTTAAATTTATTTTAGCTGAATTACATAAACTGATGAGCTCATATAGCTGCAGTAAATCAAATGGAAGTTTCAGCGATGTTTTATTAGCTAATTCTGACATGTTCAGCAAGATGCATTTTAACCTGAGTTTGATACATTTTAGACAAGCTGCTGATGCAGTGTAGTGTAATAAACTGCTAGTGTATTTGTCCATTAAAGCAAAAATCTGTTTTTTAAGGAACAGAAAATGTTTTAATAAACATTTTCCATCTATTTTTTGAGGTGACGACATGCAAAACAAACAGTATTTGGAAGAATGGTAAACCTAAGCACCCCATTTCTCATTTTGCAATAAATTTACTTGACTTGTTTCTAGTTTCATTTTACCTCTTTTTTAAATAAATAAATAAGCACATATTTTATACATTTCAGGAAACTTTGCTCAAAAAACATTTTATAGTATTATCATTATTGAAAATAGTTTTTTCTGCTTTTGTAGAAATCTTTACCCACTACGATTTAAAAGTTTGGGGTAATTAATATTTTTTTCAGGACAAACTGTCATACAAATAAGTCTTAAACCTCATTCCTCTAACAAGCAAATATAGTGCACTTTGATAAACTTTCTATAAGCAAATATTCACTTTATTCTTTAATGAAACAATTTATTATGAGGACAATCACCATATGCTACTTAAAAATAAGACTACTATCCACTTACACAACTACTGTAACATCTATTGTACAGTACCATTTCTTACCAAACAAGAAAATAAGTAAAAAAATAAATAAATAAATAAAAATAGGGAGTAACGTACAGTAATGATCCAATGACTATGCCGGAACTGAAATTGCTCACACTTTGATTACGGCGATGCAAACCATCACTGTAATCATATTCTCAAATAGAGCTGAAGTAATGTGGGAGTAAACACGCCAATGTTTACAACATCTCCATTTAGATTCACACAGCCAACCATCCTTTACTGTGAACCATTACGTTGAGTCCTGTGCCTTATCCTATGTTAAATTATATCAGCAGATTACACGTCAGTAGCCACTCATGAATGCAATTTGAATACGAGGAGGGTGAGATGTTTTTACACATGGCCGCCTCTCGGTAGGTGACGACAGGTGGAAGATCTGCTCTCTGACAGGTTGTAATCACTGTCAGTCAAAAGTTGCTCGGCCGGACTGGCCCAGCTGTTCATTTGTGCCTCCTCAAATAAAAGACAATCACAGCAATTGGCTGTCACCCTTAACCCTTCAACTGTCAGCCTAATGGAGGTTTTCAACTCCAGGTAAGGCCACCTGTTCAAACTGAAAATGAATTGAAATGTAACAGACAAATGATTTATTGCTCATCTCAGTGGGGTAATAACTAATTTCGGAGACGGATTCTGTTGGCAGAGACCAGAGCAGCGCTGTAGAAGAAACAACAAACCCTATAGCAGGTGTGGATACGTGTGATTGGTTCATCTGCGATTCAGATTAGCTTAACTCGAGCCAAGCCCCATTTGAGTAGCACTTCAGCTAAAAAAAAAATCTTGAGACCTGCATAATGAATGAATGAAATCCAGAGGAAACTACGAGGCATGGCTGCAGAAAGAGAGCGCAGACAACACAGAGCTCAAGCGCGGCCTTCAGACTGAACAGGAGGGGTGAGACGAGAAAGAGACTGACGTGAAACAAGCAGACTGGGGTGAAGCTGGAGGCAGTGAGGATGGCACACAGGAAGGAAAGGGAAAGGTCAGACAGAGGAAGACATGTGAAGAGAGAGACAAGGCAGGAAACGACATACAACATGGAAAAAGGGCAAAGAATAGGGAAGTTAGAAGAGTCCAGAAGACAGAACACACTGGGTCTCATTCACCAACTGCGCAGATGCAGAGTTTTGTGCATATAAATATATGAACAATTTTAAAATAAAAATAAATACATATATTTTAATGTTTGAGTATTTATTTATTTATCCTTGTTCATTCTAGTTTGCTCTAAGGTTTGCTCTAAACCTCTTTGTAATTTATCTAAGTTCACAGTTACACTTTTCTCTAAATTTAGGACAAAATTTACTCAAACTACATATATTCAATAATAATAATAATTATTATTATTCATATTATTATTATTTATTATTTTTTTTGTTTTAATATATTAAATGTTGTTTTTATTATTATACTAAACAGGTACAATAATAAAAACTGTAGGGTATCTGGTGTAAAACCTGTGCCAAAACTAATGTGCGAATAATTCCACTGTGGCAACCAAAAGCAGTTTGTAATTATATTATATTATATATTAGTAATTATATTAAATTATTATATTATATGATATGATATGATATGATATATGATACACTTAATAACTGCTAAAATTATAATAACAAAAAAAACAATGTGCATTATAGTTCCATCTTGACTTTGCATGCAAATCTTTTTTTGCACACATAAGTAAAAGCACCTATTCAATTATTAGTGAATGAGACCCACTGTGATAAAAGCATAAAGGCAGAAGATACTCTGGGCTTGAGTAAGAGAAAAGAGAGAGAATGCTGGCAGATGCGGAAATGGAGATTAGTACTAACCGGGCCACACAGCTATATTGCAGAGTTTGGTTTGCACCTCGGGCCCTCCACAGCCCTTGCTTCCATGCTGGGGGAGCACACAGATCCTACTCCGGGTCCGAGTGCCACGGCCACACGTGACTGAGCACAGGCTACATGAAGACCACTCCTCCCACAGCCCATGCACTGCAAACACCAACAAAACCACCAATGGGGATGAGGGAAGATGAAGGGAGGTGGGCCGAAGGGTCCTTCAGTAGCCAGAAACAGTACAGAAGGGCACACAGAGGCGAAACCCCGCCCAGATGAAGGATACAACCAGGAATGCCACCAACAGACTGGGCCTCAACCGTCAAACGCCAAAGTGGATGAAGCCTCAGATCAAGGGTTGAGGGCAGAGAAGGAAATGAAAATGAAACAGCATGTATAACATGAAGGAAATGTCACTTTTCCAAGACGGAAAAATAGGTGAAATGCACCATTTGAACATGAAACATGTCCAATTGATTGTGTTCCTGCCGAGAGGATTTAAATATGGTTGTGCCCCTGAAGGATTATTTGACTATCAATAAAAGTGATATGTGTTCCGTTTCATTTTATGTTGAGTAACTGAAAATAAGTATTCCCTAGATGTATTCTTAAATTATTTTTATAGAAGTCATACGGACGATCTTGAACTGGTATATGACTCTAGAAACCATTCCGATTCTGACTTCCAAAATGTAATGAGTTGCTTACACAGGCAGCTGCCTTCTAAGTCAACATTTTAACTGAGACTGGACCTCATAAGTGATTATTTTGGAACATACAGAATTTGGGCCATACAAAAAAGTCACAACTTGGTTGGTCAAAGAACACGAAAAAGAAGATGAAGATTAAAAAATCTTTAATAATTCACACTGAATAGAATCCAAACAAGGCAGGCAAACTAAACACAACCAAAACACTAACGAGACCTGACAAACTGAACTGAAACAAGAGGAACTTAAGTACACAGAGCAAGCAAAGTTAATTAACGAAAGTACATCTGAACAGAATGACACTATCAACTAAGAAACCAAGACAACTAAAGATGGGTAGGAACTAGAACAAAGGAAAAAGGAAACTGACTAGAAACAAACTAAAAGTCCATGAAAATGAATTTAAATGAAACATGACTGATAATCTGTAACAAGCACACAATTATTTTCAATGTAGGCAATCATTTAAAATACATTTAATAATACATTTTCATATTTAATGAATTTTAAGTATATAGTTAGTCAAATTATTTTACTTCAAAATAGATTTCAATTCAGGCTACATGAGAGGAATGCCATCATACTTTTTATGAAGCATAAATATATATAGTGCACACAAATATAAATAGTGCACATAATAGTGCACATAGTCTATAAACACTTAAATTATAAAAATGATCAATAGATTTCCACAATTAATGAGTACTTTTATACTCAATACCTACATACTCAAATTGTTTTGCTTCACAATCAATTTTTATACAGACGACATCAAAAATCTGATTAAAATATGATTACATTATCATTTTAATAATTTTTAATTGTAACTATAGATGTACAATATATTCACAATTTTTTCAAAACAAACAATGTGAGAGGAATAACATGCTACTTTATTAAGCATAAATATATAGCACAAACATTTGTGTTTAATAGTCAGTTTACGTTTTGAAAGTTTTTTCAAAAATGTCCATATATTTAAAATTCAAATTAAATATTTAGTCATATAATAAATTTCTGATAAATTTTATGGACACACAATTTAAGTAGGCTATATACATGTCTTGTTTCACAATGGATTTCAATGCAAGAAATGTGAGAAAAACAACATTTAATAAGTATAAATATACAAATTTTGGTCTGAAATGGCCAGTTTAATATTATTTAAATGTTAAAAAAAAGCTTTTTTTTTTGCAAGGATTCTGGGTTTACCACTGCGAAGGAAGGTAAGGCTGTCTTTAAAATTCATACCCATAATTATGTACTGTATGAAACAGTCGTTGCATTGGAAATTAGATCCTATTATGCTTTAAATGCTGCCTATGAAGGCAGCTTACTAGGTTGCTAGCTAGCTAGGTTTTAGAACAGAACATAGGACTGGGGGCTTGATGAGATGTTATGGGTGAGGGTGTGAATAACCTTTGACAAACCACTGCAGTGCAACAACTGTTAAACCAAACACAAAACCACCGAGATGAGCCTAAATGACTTCCTCCTCCTACCATATATTTCCTCTAGACTGTAGGGATCTGTGGAAGCAGAAGAGCAGCCATCCTTACTAGACCAACAAGGTAGTCAACATTTCATTAATCTGAGTTGCCAAAGAAAGAAATAGGAAATGCTTGATGTGTGGAGTGACAGTGAAAGCAGAAGACAGACTTTAATAATAGGCAAGATACATATGGAACACTGAAGAAGAGGAGGATGGAAAGGTGGGAGAGATTGAAAAGAGTGATTCAGGTGAGGACAGAAAGAAAAACGGATCCTGACAGAGGATGGAAAGCAAGAGAATTGGCCAGGATTTGGAGAAAGGGACAAAAGAAAGAGTAAGTAAAAGAGACAGAGAATGAGATTTTGGAAAGAGCGAGGGAGAGATTGTAAGGCCTCCTCAGTGTAGAGCAGGGATGTACTGTGAATTATGCATGCTGATAAATAATTGATAGTGCTCTGTAGTGCAAAGCTCAAAGGAGCCATGGCTCAGCTGCACATACAGCACGGAGAATAAAAAAAAAGAGCATGCATGAAGCAAATGAGAGAGAAAGAAAGAGAGAGGGGCTGGACAGGTAAAAAAAAAAAAATGAGGTAATTGTTGCTCGAACAACTTTGGAGACAAAAGCACATTTTCAGAGTCACTTTCTGCCCTCTTCAGCAGATCAAATTAGACAACTGGTAAAAAAAAAGAAAAGAAAAAAAAGAGCCATTTATGCATTTAAGCCTCTTATTATCTTCTGTAATGAAGCCATTTATAAAAAAAAATAGTTTATATTGACCTAAAAATGGGTTACAGGTGCAGGTTCTAATAGGGCTGTGGACGACGATAGTGTAAAAGCAAATAACCATCTGATTATACATAGTAAGTAACTAGGATTAATTTGAACAAATACATCAAATTAAATGAATAAATAGGCTAAACATATACCCCAAACTTTGGCACAAAAAATAAACAAATTATATTCATTTTAAGCATTTTAAGATTTCCATACTGAATGAATTATATGAAGTATATAGTTAGCCAAACTGTCTCATTTCACAACTGTTTTTTTCACTACAGATGATGTGGGAGGAATGACATTCTATTTTAATTAGCATAATCATACAGCACACAAATTTGTGGTCAGTAATCAGTTTGCAAGCATTTTTACCTAAATAGTTCCATATATACTTAAAATGTATTAAAAATGTTGTCATATGCTAAGCATGTGTCCGGAAGTGGTCAATAAATAAATACATATTTTAACATGTATTCCCGATTCCAGAAGCAAAACCAGTTGAGAACCACTGGTTTATAATCTTTGACGTCTCCAAGGGTCCTATTTGCTAAAAATAAATAAATAAAATTATTCTTGCATTAGTTTCAAGTTACAATTTGGATGAGTAAAAATGATATTAACTTTAAACTTTTACATGGCTAGCATGTCACTGGCAGTCTATTCTTGCCTGGACTTCCAAACACTCTGTCATTGGAAGTTTTAGCCTGACGATGTTGTTGATTGCGAGTTGTAAAGAGTGAAACGTGAGGCTAGGATAACAGCACTGATTTTGTGTGCCTTGGGGAGAGGTTGAATACTGGGCTGATGTGCCCGCAGTGCTCACTGCCTCTATATAGACCAAATTACAAGTACTGCGGTATCCAGCAAATCACTGTCTGTGCTGCCTCATACAGAGACCCAGAGCCTGTCTATCCGCTCCCCGCAGGGGGTGCCGATTCCTCCTATGGTGAAGGAAGCGAGAGAGAACACACTGACCACCAGAGCACATTGTCAGGAAAAAAGCAGCAAAAAAGCAATGAGGTTTGATGATGAAAGGTAGAGAAGCAGACTAGACAGAGAAATAAATAAACAGGCACAGAAAGAGATGTGATTGTGAACCGGGCATGCGGGGCAGACAACAATCCCCAAACCAATAGATCAATGTCCCCTCAGAGCATTTCTAGAACACCACCAAACTCTGTTCTGTGGCTCTGCAGGCTGCAGGCATTGTTCAGTGTTGTTTACATGTCGTAAATATTATTTATATCAGTTAAGACCAACAGCAACAGCGACTGCAGTTATAACTGATGCAGTTACCCTTTAAAAAGCTGTGATGAATGAGCAATCGTTGAATCCCTGTAGTCTGATGCGTCACTAGATTTAAAGGGTAAGAACAGATGCATTGCACCACCTGTTGGTTAACAGATGTAATTGCCCCTTTTGCCCTAAGATTCATTTAATACAGTGGTCTTCATTTAGTTTTTCTTCAGGACCCAGACTCAATAACATGAGATTAAACAAAATGAGCACACCAAAATGTCATTAAAATGATATATTATAATGTATTAATATTCCCATTAATTGCATAGGCCAAGCAATATGAATCATCATAATCATTTCCTAAGATGTATACAGTATATTCTGTATATATACGAACATTGCATATATATATATATATATATATATATATATATATATATATATTCCATTTAATTGGTTTC